GGTGCCACGGGCACGGAGGGCTCTCAGCCCACACACGTGCTGCTGCACGGCCGTGCGCGCGTGCTCGGTGCGCGGTTGCAGGAGCCGGTGCGCTGTGTGTTAAACGCGGGCACGTCCTCACAGACCTGCTGGGATCTTCAGAGCCGTGTTCAGTTTTCTGTTTTCTAAAGAGACTTTGTGTGCCTCTTACTCCTGTTGGAGGAACTTGGGCCTCAGTCAGTTTGTCGGGACCGAGGCACTTTCTCCCATATGCGTTCCCTGCCGTGGGACCAGCCCCGTGTGTGTTGGGAGGAATCAGATTTACTGTCTGGGTTTCACCTGGAGCTGCCTGGTTCCACCTTTCCCCATCTACAGCTGTGTAAAGCTGCAGGGTCTCTGTGTGAAAGCAGACATTTGGTGCATATAGAGTATTTGTAGCATCTTTCAGTGTCGGGCGTAGGGAGGAATTAGCGCCCAGATGCCCATGCTCTGGACCAGCAGGCTCCTGAAGCAGCACTGAAATGATGAGCTGCTCTCTTCATCCTCACTGCTTGTGAGCACCAAAACCTCTCCAATCACACAGATCTGTACTTGCACGTATTGGCATTCACCTGCCAAGATTGGGGTTTGGGGAAAGGGCTAAATTTTAGGTGTGTGTCACTGGTTCTTCGGTGTGCTACAAGAGGCCTCTAGACCAGCTTCGTCCCCAGCATGAATCAGATTCTGAAAGTCACGTCTGCCTAAGGGCAGGTTCAGAAACATCCCTCCCGCTGCCTTTAGCGATGTTTTGGCCTGGATGTTTGCTTTCTGTGTGGTCAGAGATGCTGCATGATGGCACAGGCTGTCAGCGGTGCCTTTCTCGTCTCTTTGTGCCCATCTGCAGGAACCGGGATCCTGTCGTCACAGCCGGAAGAGAATCCCCACTGGTGGAACGCCAACATGGTGTAAGGAGGGACAATGAGGGCAACAGGGGGATACTTAAACAGCATCTTTTGCCTTCTAGGCTGTCAAGCATGCTACAAAGACAGATTAAGACCAACACTTGTGGGAGGAAATTGCATGTTTCCTCGTTTGTCTCAGTCCGGCTCCCTAACAAGCAGCACTGGCAAAGGCTGGAGGGACTTCAGTCCAGGCTCCTTGGAGTTGTGGGGTGATCTAATGAAGAAAAACTAGGGCTAGCTTAGAGAACCTTCTCAAATAGCTGAAGTGGCTAATACTGCTGTGAGTGGTGGGCCGAGAGCTCAAAGAAGGGAGAAATGAGAAAAACACCACTTTAAATACGCATCTCTTTAGGGAGGAAGAGCAGAGGAGAGGCTGTTAACTGGCATTCTGCAAGCTGGAGACAAAAATGGGAAGATAAATTAATTCCTGCAAAAACCTCCAGTGGCTGCAGTCAGCATTCACACTGCATTGAGAAGGTCTCATTTTTCATGTGAAAAACAAGCACAGAGTTCCCCTGTGGCAGACCATCCATTGTATCAGTGGGACAGCTAAGAGCAAAGTCTCGGTTATTGTTCTGTCCATTGAGCTCAGTGCTTCAATTAGGTTAATAAAAGACACGTTATTTGTTGATTTAACTCGGTAAAACTACCAGTGTTCAGGAGAAAATTCAGGACAGTTACAAGTGTCACTCGTTGTGCCACAAGGGAAGGTGTCTGACGGGGCGGGAAACTTCCCTTTTCCTCTCACCGGGGGTTAATTTTCTGCCAGTGACCTGACCCTGTCCTCACCCCTCCTGGGATGTCAAAGGAACATCAGTGCTCACGCAGCTCTCTCTTGCAGATTCATCCCTTACTGCTCAAGTGATGTTTGGAGTGGTGCCTCTTCCAAGTCTGAGAAAAGTGAGTGTTACTGATGGGCTGTTGCTGCCCCAGACGTCACACATTAAAGGATATGGCCAGACTTCTGTGAAGTTACATGAATGAATAACAGGCTTTTTCTTGCTGAAGGGCAGGAAAGGATATCAAGTCACTTCCAGATAAAACATCCTGATCTCTTTAGCTTGGGCTGTTTTGACATAGTTCAGAGCCGCTGCTTGCAGAGATGTTGCACCAATGCAGTTTGTGAGGATTAGAGGAACAAAATTCCTTTTAGATGAATCTCTGGGTTCCAGCACACAGCAAACTAAATGGTGTAGCTGAGGAACCGTGTTGCGTTGGATGCAGCTTTGGCTTTGCTGATCTGAGAGGCAAGTGCAGTAAATTTAGTTTCAGACTTGTATCAGGAGGCCTTTGAAAGGAGCATCTTGTGTCAGGCTGTGTGCAGGTTGCTTTGGGGAAAAGGAATAGTTCATTTTATACATGCACTGCCATCAGCTCTCATTCTGATGATGATGGAACTGGAGTCTGCTTAAAAGAGTCCTGGATTAAGCTGGGCTTCCTGCAGATGGATTGTGCTACCTCAGGTCTTTCTCTGGGTTTCCCAACTTAAGCAGGGTTGGTGTCTGGGTGCAGGGATGCCTACAGAAACACCAGGGACTTAGTTCTCCTCTCGTTTGTTCATGAAGTGTTTTCTTTGGCCAGGATGAAATTACTGTTACATGGTGCTGTTGATGCTGTTAACAGAAGAATTTGGCCCAAGCTGTGCCGTGCTGTGGCATTGAAAAGGCAGAAGGTTTAATGCTTCTCTTTGAGCTGGTCTGCGAGTTCCAGCCTTAAATCAGACACTGTCACTCCATGTGTCTGGTCACTAACACTTGCAGTGGGAAGCTGACTTCTCGTGGATACCACAGATACACGTTTTGTCACCATAAGGGGCCTTTCTGCTCCCCAGGTTCTTTTAACTGTCCCCGTGAAGCAGCTCCTCTCCAGCAGACACGGCTGCCTCTCGGCGGTGCTGCCCATGTAGGTGCAACCTTTGTGAAACGCTGCTTGACTGAAGTGGCTTTAATGAGCTGGGGAGAAAGGGAGGCAGGACCTTGGAACTGGGACTCCAGGTGGTAGGAAGGTGTCTGTGTTCCTTGTGTACAGAGGAAGGCTCACAGCACCTGCCTTCTTGTTCTCTACGTGTTCCAATTCCTACGCGCTGCTGTTGGAGGGTGTGCTTGTGCTGCTGCGTATTCTCTTCACTCTTTCAGGGAAGCAAGTTTTGCAGGGGGGGAGTATCTTCTGTTAGATGTACGTGAGACGGGTGGAGAAAATGGGCCTGGTTTTAGGTTCATAAGCCCTTCGTAAGGTTCTTAAGCATTCATGGAGAGGAAGCGAAAGTCTTAACCTGGGCAAGAAACAGTTCTGTTGAAACTGAGCTCTCTCTTCCAGATGAATATGCCTTCATGGGAGCACTGATCATTCAGGAGGTTATAAAGGAGCTGGTGGGAAAAGGCCTTGGCACTGCCAAAGTGTTGCTGCTAGCAGGGAGCAGGTGGGTACCTACATTTCGTGTGGTGAAGACAGGAGAGTTCCACAGCCGGCGGCTGTTAGGGAGCAGGTCTCAGCAGCAGACCCTGGATCTCTTCTCAGTTTTCTTCTTCACGTGGTACAACAGGGGGTGATAAATAGTATTACTTCCTCAGCTTTTGGTCCAGGTACACTTATGAGAAAATCATAAGGTGAAAGCTTTGCAGGAGGGAGGGTGCGTTTCGGTCTTCCCTGCATCGAGCATGCTGGCTCCTCTTGGCCCGCACCATGAGACGTGTGCCACTGGGAATGGACCTGGGACATGTGAATTGAAACACCGGGCTTGCGTGACTGGGTGCTCTGAGTCGTGCCGTGCTGCACAGAGCTATGGGCCACTCAGCATATACTACATGGGTGGAATAGAGAAGTTGCAAAGGATGAATTTGTCTCACTTTAGATTCTTTAGTTTTTGAGCAGTCAAACGCTATTGATACAAAGCACATAAATCTCCCAGAAGAAGGAATAAGAACAGAGCTGACTTCTGAGGTATCACAATTGTTACTCAGCACTGGTTTTATTTCTGAGTGTTTTGCAAAGCAAAGGAATAACTTGGTGACTGCCGAGTTCATGGTGCATTGCTGTGTGGATAGATGAAGTTGTCCTTAGGGTGTCACTGCTGTGAGAGGGTATGTGAATTAGGCAGCCATTCAGTAGCTGTGTGCGCTTCATGACTGCAGTGTTAATGTTGCTGTTGCAGTGCTGGAGGGACAGGAGTGCTCCTGAATGTGGATCGAGTGGCAGAGCAGCTGGAGGAGATGGGTTATCCAGGGATTCAGGTTCGAGGCTTGGCAGACTCCGGATGGTTCCTGGATAATAAACAGTATCGCAGAACCGACTGTATTGATACCATCACATGTGCTCCAACGGAAGCCATCAGAAGAGGCATAAGGTACAATCAGATGCTCTAAAGGACTTTTGTAAGAGTTAGGGTGTGGAGAAGATCTCCTCCTCCTCTATCTTCCTCCATTTTGATACTTAAAGAGTATTTATCATCTACATCAGTGTCTTTTCAATGATTTTATTGGAAAAGACAGTGACTTAAAATCTAGACATGCAAAAGGTTGTGTGCAATTGTGGATGCTCTAAAATGTGATTGATGGGACAATGTAGCCAGGAAAGAACTCTGGTGTTCGAGTAATCAGAACAGAAATAGATGGGATATGGAAAGGCCGTTGCTAAGATTGCACTATGCCTTTCATTCAGTTACTGCTTTGTCTTCTAGGTATTGGAATGGGATTGTTCCTGAACGCTGCAAGCTGCAGTTTAAAGAGGGAGAAGAATGGAATTGCTTTTTTGGATATAAGATTTACCCCACTCTTCGATGTGAGTATCAGAGGAGAGCTACCAAATGGATTCCAGGGTTTCCTCTGTATCTGCAGCTAACTTAGAGCAATCTCTTTTCCAAATCTTTTGTCTTCCCAGGTCCAGTCTTCGTTGTCCAATGGCTCTTTGATGAGGCCCAGCTTACTGTAGACAATGTTCACCTCACTGGCCAGCCTGTTCAGGAGGGGCAGTGGCTCTACATCCAGAATCTGGGTAGGGAGCTAAGAAACACCTTGAAGGATGTGACGTAAGTGTTCCATTGAGGAAAACCTGGCACATTTCTTTCTAAGACGTATTTTTGTCTAGTATTCTAGCAGCATTTCTCAGATCTCTGCAGAGTTGAGTGTTGTGAATTTGGTGGCTGTTAGTTCGTCTACAGCAATGATCTTGCCTTTTTTATTTCGGGATAAGTGCAAAGTAACTTCCAGCTTCACAACTATCAGCTGCCCTTTGTAATCTCTAGGCAGAGGTTTTCTCTTTCCTGCCTCCAAGGCAAGGTCAGACTCCTTGCCACCACGCAGCCATTAACCTCCCAGGGATGTTCTGAAAATCATAAAACATCCAAAGAGCTGATGAGACAACAGAGGAGGAACTGTTAATGCGCCTTACTTGCTTCACACGAGAGCAGGTACCCAGGAGTCCTGTTGCAGATGTGCACTGTTAGGCAGGAAGCAACCCCTTTCCTTCTGGATACTTTCCAGTCCAGGCAGGGTTTATATCAGCCAGTTATGGCTGTTCTAAAACTCTTGCCAGGGGCAGCAAAAAGTCCACCCTCTCCTGAGTCCGGAAGGTTCTGTTTAGCAGGAGGCAGCTTGTCCCTCCAAGACCTAACCCACGTTTCCTTTCTTCCCTCAGTGCCAGCTTTGCTCCTGCCTGTCTGGCTCATGAGATCATTACACGCAAGTGAGTGCTTTTGCAGGCTCCGCGAGTGGGCGGCGGGGGGACACGCTGGTTCCCACGGCCTGATCCGGGCTCTGCCCTTTGTCGTTCCAGTCACTGGACGGACATCCAGGTGAAGGGGACGTCGCTCCCCCGTGCCCTGCACTGCTGGGATCGGAGCCTACACGAGAGCAACAAAAATGGGAAGGCCCCTCTGAAAGGCTGCCCAATTCATCTGATTGACAGCTGTCCATGGCCTCATTGCAACCCCTCGTGCCCCACCATCAGGGACCAGTTCACAGGGCAGGAGATGAACGTGATCCAGTTCCTCATGCACATGGGTTTCGATGTTCAGAAGATGGCACAGCAGCAGGGCCTGGAGCCCAGTAAACTCCTGGGGATGCTCAGCAGTGGTAACTAGCAAGGGCTCTGCATAGGGGCAGAGATTAGATCAGGAGGAGACTCTAAGCCCTTCTCCCACACTTCCTAATCTTCCTTATGCTCATGCAGGCAGCCGCACGCTCACACCCATGCATGCTCAGACCTGTACACACCACGTGCTCCCACACTCTTGCACACTTAGGATGTGTCCAGCAAAAAAAAATTAGGCAATTTCTTGCTTACACCGTTTGACCGGAACATGTTACCTCCAAACTGCAGGGCTCAGTTTTGGCCATTCACATCCTCTTCCTGCATAACACAAGGCAACCTGATACAGGGAGTAGCAAAGCCATAAATAGCAGCAGTGAGAATCTTCCCCAGATCTAGGACTTCTTCCCTTGCCATGAATTTTACATCATAGACTTGATACAAGTGGTGAACAAAGCAAGCACTGGATTTCTTTTGTCCAACTAGGAGTGAAGGAACAATAACCTGACTGCCTGGAAGTCAGCATCTTGCGATGCATCATCACGTACAAGCCCAGGACACGTGCTAGGGATGGACACTCTTGTACTCAATTTACTTTCATATTATTTTATAAAATGACTTTTTTATTACTTTTTTAAACTAAGCAAGAAATATAAATGATATTGTTTTGTAACATATTTTTTTTTAAATAACGAAGAAACCTCTTGCTACGTGGGCAATGTGGACATATTTATTTTAATATGTAAAACGCTATTTATAAGGGCTGACCAGAGAACCATACATACGTCTTTGTAAAGTTGTATATGCTGCTCGTTTGGATGGGTTATTCTTATGATCACTTGTGCCTGGGAGAGGGCTGAGGGTGGTGTTGGTCTTCTATATTAATTAGACTTCTGTGTTCCCCTTGCAGTATGCTTTGTCATTGTTTCTCTGATGAAGAGGTTGTAATACGGGGTCTAAGTACAGAGATTTTCACCCAGCATCTGATGTTTGTGTACTTGCACAGCACTTCCAGCTTGACACTGACTGGCCAGGTATTCCAGGGCATTGCATTTTAAGATGCAGGGACATCTGGTTTTGCAGCAAAGGCTTCTGTTCTCCTGAGCAATGTTTGATGAGCCCGTCTGTCCTGTCTCAAAATGGGGAGCATTTGGAACATAAAAGGCAGCGAACACAAGGCAAGCACCAACATATTTCTATTCTTTTAGTCATTTGTGAACACACCCACCTCAGGACACCGAGAATCCCCTTTGATGGTAATGGGAGGAGAACAAGGGAGGGATCAGGAATGCGTGTTGGAGCTGGAGAGAGGAGAGACCATTCCTTAGGGGAAAAGCACACGGGCAGAAGAAAGAAAGCAGAAAAGCTCCACACTGCAGCACGCTGCAGCTGGTGCAGACAAACCTGCACAAGGAACATCGGTTATATCCCTTCTGCAGAAGTTCCTGACACCAGCGTGGCACTGGCACACGGGTGTGAGGCTGCACCCGTGTGAGGCTGCACCCGTGTGAGGCTGCACCCGTGAGTGCCTGCACCCGTGTGAGGCTGCACCCGTGTGAGGCTGCGCTCGTGCATGGCCACAGGAGACTGGGGCCCAGTTGTACCAACCACATCACACACTGTTGAGATGGGTCTTGCCAGGTTGCAGCGGGGCTGAAAGGGTGTCCTGAACCTTGACAAAGGAGCGGTGCTGTTGGTGAGGTCCCTTGTCTCAGGTGGGTGAACCCCAAAATGAACAAAGCTGCAGCCATTTGGGTATTTCTCATGGGCTTCAGCAAACAGTTGGGCAGCACCATGTAGGCGATGGGCCGTCCTGCTGGGCAAGGGGGGCTTGCAACGCACGCCAGGTAAAAGTAGCTAAAGAGAAAATGACTGGTGCTCCCAGCGGGACTGAAATGTCAGGACAGAAACACAGGAAAGCGTGTGGGAAGTGGGATTCATCCGAGGGCTGGAGTCACCCAGAGCCAAGTGCTGGTACGGGAGCAGCAGCCAGGATTTCAGCTGGGCACCACTTGCTTGGCTGGGAGCACCAAGGGAACTGCTGTGAACACCAGTGGTTTGAGGATGACCGTACACAGGATGATGCGCCCCCAGATACGCATGTGCCCCGTGCTGCATCCAGTGGGGGATGAGGAACAGTGAAGTACAAATACTGGTGCTGCAGCTGGGAATACTTTCTGCAGAGCTGGTTACCTGTACACCCAAAACATGAACTCAAAGGTTAATTTCTAAAAGGCAAAGACTTTTTGGAGGAGGAATTTTCCTTGCAAGCACAGCCCCTCTGTGCTACAGGACATTCCGCAACAAAACTGCTGCTAGGATGAAGGATTAACATCACAGAGAGACTGGAAAGACAAGACCTGAGGGTGAGAGCCCGTCCACCTGGAGCTCCTTGGCTCTCTCGCTGCATTTCCTGGTTGTTGTGATGTTAATTGTGCAGCTTTCACCCCAAATGAATGCAGGTTTTCTACATTTAGCACCAGAGGTCTTTTAAGGAAGATGGGAGGGGTTTTCATGAAAGAGGTGCTGAGGTTACAGGATGGTGACAGGCTGAAGGTAGGCACGTTTGAGCTTCACGGTCACAAAATCTACTGTTCTCACACAAGTCATGCTGTAAAGTTGTCCCTGGCCTACGCGTGAGCTGCTGCAGTGCCGCAGCCACTGCCTTTCACCATGAGCAATCCTGGTAACCTGCGTCCGTCCCCGTTTGTGTCTTGTCTTAAGCCGTAGCTGGATCACAAGTGACTTGCAGCAGCGATTGCAGCTTAAACAGTTCCTGTCCATCCCCCCCGGTCCGGGCTGCTCTGCCAATGGCACTGCCGTGCGGGCCCCGCCGTGCGCATCCGCAGCGCCGCTCGGAGCAGTGACTCCTGGTTACAAGCAGTCCCTGTCAGGCGCGGGATTCCTGCTCTGCCTGTAAAGGCGAGGCCAGTGGCCTGTGTAGGCAAAGAGCAAGAGCCAGGGAGGAGGGAGGGAACAAGCAGCCGGACACTGGACGTGCTGCATCGCCTCCTCCGAAGCCCGTTCTGCCCAAGCAGGGACCGGCGCTGCCGCAGTCACAGCCCCGTGTGGTGGCGCTGCCTGCTGAGCACAGGGACCCTCCCAGGGGAGCTGGCAGCTTTCAGCCCTCCGAGTCCCAGGCACAGCACGAGGAAGGGTCCTGGGAGAAAAGGGAACAGCGTCCTTCCCGTGGGAAACCCAGGCTGCCCCAGAACTGCAGCAAAGGGCATCAATTTCGACAGATCCTCTTCTGTCAGCTCTTCTCTCCAGTATCTAGCACTGCGTGTGGCGATTCGCTGGGGGTGTCACATCAGCACAGTAACATACAAGGAAGGAAGACATTAAGCCATTACTATTGTTACCAAGCATGAGGGTCAATGATAATTCCCAGCTAGGAAGTTAGAGCTGGAAGCAGCGCAGCTGACCAGCATCTCGAATCATTCAGAACAGGTTTAAGGCCCTGGGCCAGGCCTGGCCGTGCCGATCCCTCCATCAGTGCAGACCTCTGGCGATGATCCCACTACCACCCTGGGACCAGCACAGCGGGAGCCGGGCTGCAGGTGCGGAGTCAGCGATGCTGCCATCAGGCAAGTGAGGAATTCTTGTACTATGCCGGGGTTTTAATCTGTCCCATTCTGAGACTGCATCAGAAATTTTCTTTGGAGCTTTCAGAGTTAGAATTAAGAGGCTTTCGGGTAAAGACCAAATCTGGGGAAAAGTGTACCAAAACCGGCTACCTGGGAAAGCTTTGATGCGTGAGGAGGGAGGGTTCGACACTGTGCATTGAAACCTGTGTTCCAAAACTGAGCTCAGGACATCAAAGCAACTCTATTGTTTTGGTTTGGGTTTTTTGTTTGTTTCTTTTGTTGGTTGTTTACCATTGTCTTTAGTTTTGGCACTGGGAGGTACAAGAATAACTGGTTCCCATGTAAGTAAAACAGACAAGGAAGCATTTGAGGAGGTCGTGAGGACTGGTGCTCAGAACCTCCTCAGCACCATGCCCCTGCTAATGCTTGGAGCACAGCAGGGCCTTTCACAGCAGGTAAATCTATCACTGCTCCAGATCAAATGGAGCAAAATGAGTCAGCTTTTATTGTAGCTTCTGGCTGAAATCCTTCCGTAGGGCTTGTGATGCTGCCAGGCTCGTGTCCCTGCACAGGGGCTGCAGCACCGAGCTCCTGCTTCTGCAGGATCATGTCCTCCTTCCCTAGGGAGCCCCCACGGCACGGAGGGGCTGTGGAACAGCGGCGTTCCGGTGACCCCGGCATGCCCGAGGAATCGCAGAAGGATAATTACGAGTCCCTGATGGAGCTCACAGCTTCAGTGTTAACTAACACCCGCTCGCAGCAGTTGGGGGGGGCAGGACTCATTCCAGAACTATTAATATAGCCCCTATTTATACTCAGAGGTCGCTGCGAGCGGCACAGCAGAGAGCTACAGCTGCAGAGCTAAAATGGAATCAATGTCAGCCCCCAAGGAGAAAGCAATCGTGAGGGGAAGGAGACGGTGAAAGGACGGAGTGGGGCAGGTTTCAGACCTGAGAGCGCGGGTGAGCTGCTCGCGGCACCCCGAGAACGCAGCCGGCGGCAGAATCAGACAAAACCCTCCCTGCAGCCCA